TTAAAATTTTTAAAAAAACGCATGATTTTCACGTTACACCTGATCTTAAAATCTAATTGGTCAATTTATGTCGATCAATGAAAATCTGCTACTGGGGTAGTTGTACAACATATGTCTGGTACTATTTTGTCTAATGTCCTAATTTGTTGATAAGTGTTACTATACTTATGTGTCTCCATGTGATATGTATTTCAATAAATTTGATACTTGCACATGTAAATCCTTTCTTGCGTTAAAATGTCAATTTATAATAACTCATTTAAAAAGCAATCAGAAAAAATCGGCAATTCATCAAATATTATTGAAATAACCAACGATCTTACTCAAATGTATTTAGAAAATAACAATCAACAATTTTCTCAGAATTTTCTTAATAAAATTGTTAATGAAATATGCAATTTGTATAATGAAGAAAAATTGAAAGGCAAACATCCCCGTTCAGTTCTTGATACATTAGAACAATTTTTGATAAAGAAAAGGCAAAATCCAGTTAATATTATCAACTTATGCTTAGATAATCAAATCAATCCTACGGTACAAATTATTCTTGCAAATTGTTATCAATTTGGTAAATGGATTGAAAAGGATGAATATAAGGCATTTATTTATTATCAAAAATCTGCAGCAATGGGTAATGCTATTGGAACAAATAGTGTTGGATATTGTTATTTCAAAGGAATTGGAATTGAAAAGGATGAACATGAAGCATTCATTTATTATCAAAAATCTGCAGAGATGGGATATGCTGTAGCGGCGTATAATGTTGGATGTTGTTATAATAACGGAACTGGAGTTGGAAAGGATCAATATAAAGCATTCATCTATTATCAAAAATCTGCTGAGATGGGAAATGTTTATGGAATAAGAGAAGTAGGGGATTGTTATCTTGACGGAATTGGAGTTGAAAGGGATGAGATATTTATTATCGAAAATCTGTAGAAATGGCTAACGTTAGTGGAGTGTCGAATGTTGTATAATGTTAGCGAAATAGAATCTATCTTATAATGTCAAATACTGGTATAAAATTAAATTATGCAGGCATATGGGGTCTTTGCCTTGAAAATGACCTTACGGTATCAAGTACCGTAAGGTCATTTTCAAGGCAAAGACCCCATATTGTGATAAACCACAATAAAAGGGATAAGTACGTATTACAAAAAATCGGGAAATTACCGAAAAAAAATAATTTTTTTTTTAGAAATGAATTTTTTTATATTAAACTTTTATATTAAATCATAAGAAAATGCAAATTTAAAGAACTATGCTGCAAGATTTTATCAATACAACAAGACATATGAAGGAAATGAGAGCAGTTGGTATAGTTGATTTTTGCAGCAATCTTCAATGTAATTATATTATTATTTTTAACTTATTAAATATAATTATTACATTGATGATAATATTATGTTTATATAGTGATGAATATTGAAATTTGACAATTTTAACAAATTTACCAAAAATTAGTCTGAACATTTAAATATGAAAATTCTCTGATCACGATTGTGTCAACTATTGAAAACTGTTTAGAATTTTTTTCTATACGAATGACCATTTAATTACACATTAAAAATCGGCTTTGTAAAGCATCTATTCCCTACAAACTAACGAAAATTAATCGGCAAAAGATTTTTATCTATAAAACATCACTACCCAGTTTCTTGTTTCATTTATTTATTGTATTTAGTGCCTGTAAATGCCCATGCCTGGCATATTATCATAAGACCGGGTACTAGTGCCTTAAACTTATGTCTATATTTACAAAAAAGAATAAAGTACCAGGCACCATTAAAGGTATAGGTACAAAGTGCTAGGAACTAGCAAAGGTATGGACACAAAATGCCTGGACATATGACAGTACAAGTATCAGACATAATTGAATGTAGTTTTGGTAGAATTAGAGAAGTAACGTAGTAGATATGTGTTTGTAAGGTAAATGTTATAAATGAGACTTTATGTAATAGTAGGATTTTTGTTATTAGCGAAGGTGGGAATAGTCTTTCCTGGTGTGCCAAAATGGTAATTAATAAAATCTGCACGCTTTAATAAAATATGCTTGATATGCTATATATAACCTATGCCATTGATGCCACCAACCCATCCGCTCAATCGATCATATTCGTCACATTCGTTGCATGCAATAGATGCAACGGATGCAACGAATACAACCGGGGAACCCCAAATTTGGTAACAAATCTTCACACCAAAAGACCGGGGCACAACTTTAATTACATGGGTCGGGTTAGTCATTATAGGAGGGCATTCATATGATTGGCTGATGTAAATCAATTGCCCGGGTAACTTATTTATATATTTTAAAGTACTTTTGGGAACACAAAGTTTTACTAATAAAAAATCACCGCAAAAGCCATTTTCGCTTCGATAGAACGCCTATATTCACTATGCAAAAATAATCAGTATCCCCGCGAACTTTACTTAGAAGGCAAAATATACCTACCGCTTATTGGGCCATATCAAACAATACTGTATAGTGGTAACCAGAAATATTTTTAATTTGAATAGGTACAAGCTCTTTAACAAGAAGATCCGGGCTTAATATTTAAATTTGGTCGGTTCTTGTAGTGTGTTTGAGCTTGTTAGCGTAAATTAGTTAAAGTTTTAATAGTTTTAATTTATATCT